GAGAAACATCAGGAAAAGGGGATATGTAGCAATTTCGAGTGTCTCATTCATGAAAACAATAATAGCTACTTATTCCATCTCTTTATCTAATACCATATTTGGATTTCATAGAATCTGAGCCACCTAAAAAGAGTCACTTCTATATGTAATTTACTTGATTTACACAAAAGTATATAGAAATTTGATTCTGGGAAAAACAAAAGGAAACAGCAAATTAAAAATAACTTTGTTGTTATACCTATTTTAGGGAGTTTTTTGTACCCAAAATTGCAACAGTGAGATAGCTTGAACCAACTCCTTGTTAAAAAAATATTCTGTCTTCTAATAACCGGTTAGTAGTTAAGAACAAATACAATTGTAAGTGTAACTCTATAAGAACGAAACGAGCAAGCAAAGGACGCCATCGTTAGTTGTTTCAGATTTTTATTGCACTCGAAAGAAATAAGGGTCTTGGACCGGCTATCGAGGTGCCCCAACTTAAACCACTTTTTCTGTTCGTTCTTCAATTTAGAATGCTTTTTATATTCCTTTTGTTTTGATATTATTCGTATAATATTATTCGTTTTTAGTATGTATCGTATATTAAAGATATATTTGCATACATCCACAAGGAAGCCGCTGTTTTAATGAAAACTATATAGGATAACTTTCGGATTTTTTGGAGTATAAGACAGTAATTACTCTAATTTCTGCGTGATTTTATTTTATCATCATTATTAAATCAGGAAATATTTTTATAAGTTTTCAATACCCCCTGAATATATTGAGATAATTTCTTTTAAGATAATTCTATCTTTTTTGTATTAGTTTTTAATGTAAAGAAACAGAAAACGATTATTTAATTTCATTGATAACATTTCGAAGGTAACATACGAAGGTCAACTGAACACAATTTGTACTGTAAATGTTATGGAGTTCACTAATTTCCTAATAATTAAAAGTTAAATCAATATTACCTTTCCAAATCACTGTACAGTGAAAATAAGTGGTGTAACAACAAAGTTAGGACTAGGCTTGCAAATTTACCCTATAAGGATTTTCTCAGTGTTACGTTGGATATTTATTTCTGGGTTCCGATAACCAATCGCAAATATTGCAATAAAACAATAATAACAATGAACATATGAATTAGTTTTAGAACTTAGAATAAACCATACAAAATATTTTAACCTGAATAATTAAAAAGCTATAGAGCTGATCTCGTCTCTAACATCATTAGACGTGTGTAAACATGTTAAAAAATCCACTAAAAGGCTAACCAAAAGTGTCTGGTTAGTGTCAGAAGATAGACTATGTGAGCCTGGTAAAGGTGCAAGGTCCTGGGACGTGCTCAAGTGGCCAACACCCGGCTGAAATAATAAGCAGCTAATTTCCAAGTACGGCTCCTCATCACGCGGGTGAATACATTAGTTGATTGTATAATGAATTTTTAATTAGCACATTGAATTTTTCATACGGATGCAACTGCCGAGTAGACTCTGGGGCTCTGAGGCTTTTGAGAAATGGAAATTCTTTATAGTTCCAGGAACTACTGATTTACATGATGATTGGCTCTTGCTTTTTAATGTAATGTCTCTTTGTGTGATTGTTATTAGTCCTCTTGTGTACTCTTATGGTGAAACAAATTCATTTATTCACATGTATATTACGAATGCAATCTTAACGACCCTCCACATTTCCATAGCACCAAAAAAAAAACTTAACATACTGCAATATTTCAAGAAAAACAATCAACTTTACGTTACGTTTTGAATCTCAGAACTAAATCAAAACCTACGAAATCCTAGTGTAAACATTGAAGCGAAATCTTTGTAACCCTTGCCAAGAGTATTGCCTGAACCGACGAACGTGGAATGTAACACAGTCAAAGTTTATACCGAGAAGGAGATCTTAAAGCTTCTTTTTAATTTAAACCTATAATGCATAATACACATATAATATATTAAATAATTTAATACACACTACACATACTTTGACACACACACATACGAGTACGTTATCCGTGAATCCGTGATCCACGAAGATTTGACAATGTGTGTGTCACTAAATGTCATTTCAATTCTAATATTGAACTTTAAATAATAAATAATTTATGATCAAATATCATATATCTGGTGTTATATACTGTGAAATATATCAAACACTTTTGCAATAACTATATTTATTATTTGGTTACGAAAAAAAATTGTAAGTATATATCGGCGCTACCAGCTTTAATAACGGATGCGACTTGAAAATAATTAGAGGCTGCCATCAATTCTTATTAAACCTCATTAGTATTTATGATTATTGTTAAAAGTAAAACGAAATCAAAAGAGAATAGAATTATGTTTGAATCAAAAATATGACGTCTGGACTCACGACGGCGGACTCCAGAATTGAGAATTGAGGATTGATAATTCAGAGTTCAGTGAGCGTGTATCATAGAAGCATGTTATTATGAAGAATCTTTGAGAAATACAAGAGCATTAAGATCAATTGCAGTTTCATTTTAAAATATCATCGAATGCTCTAGAAGAAGTGACATTTGTAACGACAGCGAGGCTGGCGTCACTCTCTTTTAAAACCACGAATGTGTAATAAATCCGATATATACATTCATATATTATTGTAAACTCATAAGACTTTAAGGAACATTACTAATATTCGCTCTTTCTTATTTCTCGAAAATGATTTAAATAAGTCAATAAATAAAGGATAGAAAGGCAAATTATTTAATTTTTTTTATAAATAAGTTGAAGAATGACGATTTTGATTTGTTTGCTTTATTTATGGAGAAGTTTTGTTATAATTTATAAACATAAATAAAGTTTTAAATCGTTCTAAGCCTTACATCGATACAAGTAACTACATCTTTGTTTAACAAATATATAATAATATTTTATTTACCAGCAACGGGTAGAAAAAAATACTAATTCCCAGCAGTAATGTTAGTCTAAATATTATTAAAATCGATTTAAACTCTTAAAAAAATAGATTAAAATTTTAAATTATAGTCGTATTTTAATTTTTTTCGCTGTATTTATCATTCGTAACTGGCAATACGTGCATTAATTAGATTATAAGTTGTTAAAAGTTAAGTAAACAATATATCTGTGATCACTCGCTTCACAATCGCGATTCCAATTTCATGTGCGTATCTAAATAGTTCACTGAATAGATTTGATAAACAAAATGTATTATTTTTCATATGTAAAGTTTAAAACAATATTTTTATTTACACGTCACTTTTAATCTTCTATTATCAGTACACAAACGAAACGAACGAAACAAATATACAAAGTTTATTAGTGACAATTAATGATTATTCAAATAAGAAATATGTAATTCGTCGACACAGATTCAAATCTGAAACCTGCTTAATAACGCATACCAAGTGTAAGGCATACCCTTCTATTAGAGTTTAGACTGGTAATTCAAGAATGATTCTTAATAATGGAAACATTATTCCAGGAATATGTCCCAAACTATTACTCAATATGAAAAGAAAATACAATTTAACTTTGTTATATCACTCTGTCATTGTTGTCGTATTATTGTTATTTTTTTATTAAACGACGAATTTAATTATTTTAATTGATTAATTTTATAATATACATACTTTACATAAATATTCTGAATTCATGATATATAATTAAAGATACATACACTAATATTATTGTTAAGACGAATGCACATATCTAATTCGTTCAGACTTATCTTTTTTCCTCTGAAATAAGTAACGGAGTTATATTAAATTCCATGATATATGAATAATTATTCATTCAAAGTGCTTTAACTGCTAGAAGTTACAAAAGCTGGAACTTGATTTTCCAAAGGCTGCAGATAAGAATTCTTCTCGCGTCGAAAAGATTATAATTGTATGTTTTCTACTATTCGAAATTCTCCACTATTCAAAAAATTGGTCATTATGGCCTAAATAAAAAAACATGACTGATATCACGAAAGAGTTATAATGGAAAATAATATTTTTTTATAAATAAAGAGTTTGGATTCAAAGGCAATAATCCATTAATTAAGATATCCCCTATTTCCCATTTAAGTATATAATATTTAATTATGAACTCACGCAATTTCCCTTTTATTTTGCTAAACCATTTTAGTTTTTTTATTTTAATCTTGAATACTCTCCAATGTTTCGATAAAAATAAATGTATAGTGCGCACAAGCCTTTTAGTAGAGCTTATAAGGAATAAAATCGCGCAAAGTAACGTCTTGAGACTATAGTTATTAGAATAATAGAACAAATTTGACAATACTAAATATGACTAATAAACATTTTAGGAGTTTTAGTACAAGAACCTAATTACAGTAGCCTACTTAGGTATAATTAAAATATACGTATATAATACCACTTCATCAACCCGCGTAATAAACCAACGGGGCGTGTTTTCCCAAAAGTTATCTGCCCAAAAGTCTGAAGTAGATATTCCGTATTTAATAAAGATTTATTTCTCCTGCGTATAATTTGAACTTTTTTATATCTAATAAAATATTTTTTATGTTTAACGGGAAATACATACTTATACAATCCAAATCTTTAAAGTAAATATGTTAATTTTAATTATGTATACTTAAAAACTTTGAATGTAACGCAAGTATTCTTAAAATGCATAAACGTACATTGTAGTACAGCTAGAAGACTTAAAAGATCAAACAGCTAATATATGTCAAAAATGAGATCGTATACATTTTCTAATTAAATCAATTTGTTTTTTTGTAATTTACATTATTTTTGAAAGCTAAATGTACTACTTTGGATTAATTAATAATTGCAAAAATATTTGCAAATATATATAAAGTATTCATTCAACTATCTAAAAGCTTGTAACTTATACAGTTCTTCAGAAAGGGGTCATGAAAGACGGACGACTAGAAAGTTTCTCTTTCCTTTATCTTAAAAGGCTAAAAAATTTACAAAGTATTACTAAAAAACAATAAAAGTCTATAAAAAATCAACAAATAAATAAGTTAAATGTTGCAGAAAAGTCAGTAAGTACCTGGTAAAACAGCTCCTGGTCTCAAAACATCTCCGAGTAAGTCTTTGATGAGGAAGGACTTATGACTGTCCTGCATTCTCGTGCCAATTACTGACGACACTTGGATATACAGAAAACTTTGATTTTCACATAACTTATATTAACAAAATATAAACTAAATTAAATTATGATTTTCAGAAAGTCTAGTGCGGGCACAACAATTTAATACTGATACATATTTCCCTTAAGATCATTGGTTGTATATGCGATGGTAATTGCGGATCTATTAGCAGTATGTCAATCGAACAGACGCTAATGAATGCTTCACCTCCGCGCATCCGATGTGACTGTCAGCCATGTTCGAATCCCTCGAGCGGGAAAATCTTTTCATTTAGCAACGCCCTACCCCTAACCGCGGTTACATACATTTTCTTGCGGTTTTCACCCAAAATACCGCTTAAACGGGGTTTAAAACGCGTTTAGCATGCGCAGCTTCCACCAGGCGGGGCCTGGAGCTCCACCCAGCACGCCTCTGCCAATGAAAGGCGACTCGCGAACTTTTCCGGGCGAATGATTTGTAAAGTACGCATTGAATCGAGGGTTTAGAGCCGTAGTTATTGAGTTGCTTTTTAAAAGACCGTTTTGAATGTAAATCGAAAAGTTAAGCGAGGTAAAGAGGCTGCCCGCAGATTCCCAATTATATTGATAGTTGCGTGTCGAGTGCGGCTCGTTCGTAGCGGGATAGCTTACATTCTGGTATGGAGGAAGCACGAGTACATGTAAATGCTGCATCGCATTCAATTAAAAGGTCATTAAATGTAATGACGTTTTGACCCGATACAGACGGAGGAGGCGGGCTTAATGCTAATGAATGATCCTTAATGAGAATATGATTGTTGTTTAAACAATGCGGTTAATATTTAATAAATTATAAATGCGCTCGTTAATTTAATATCAATTGGCTTTGAGTGCGGCCAAAATTAAATACGCTTGTTTCTTTCTTCTGCGGTTCTTATGTCTATTTCCGTGGTCCCAAACTAATAGGCAGATTCTGGAAAGCTTTTAATATAGCGTGTGGATATTGAGTAGAATGTTAACTATTCATGGTAGCGCGATGTTTAAATCTCTTTTGTGTATAATGGAAACAGTTCCCAATATCAACTGCCTTAATGAATGTTAATAAAGTCTTACAGTTTATTTACGGATCAAATATTTGAACAGTTGAGATGAACCTTATACATACATTGAGTTATTATTTTTATTTGAATAATTTAATAGTTTAAACTTTAATTAGCCCTCTACATTAAACAACGTAGTATACATATATACTAAACTTTTAGTGCGTTTGTGTAAGATACTATTTAATACCCCGTGATATCAATGATAAGACAAAAAGATATAACAAAACAATTATAAATACAAGTATATGTAATAAATATTTAAGAAGTTATCGTCAACTTAATAGTTTTTAATTAATATTGAAATAACATAAATAGTAGTTTTTTGTTAACTTTTTACTACACGTAACTTATATTACTACACGTGGTAAAAGGCTAAAACAATTGTCGATTAATCCTATGATATGTTATGCGTATTAATATTAATTAATCAATACTTAACTAAAACTAATGACATTTAATTTATACGAGTAAATATGTTTAGATTTTTACTAATATAGAAGGTATATACATACATATGTTCATTTAATCTACTACTGTACTGTAAGTCTTCTTGTGAGTTATAACAGTCTGAACAGTTAGGTATACCAAAGATTGTTGATACGATAAGAGATTTTAATTAGATGTAACCTGAGTTGTGTACATATATTATCTTTTTCTCATTATATTATATATGTAAGTAATTCAGGTAAATTAATAGAATAAACGAAATTACAGTACATATATATATACTAGTTTAGCATGGTATATATGTTCTATTGGGCACCAGAAGTATCATTTAACATCCTGAGTGATTATTCAGTAATTCCGAATTATAGGTCTGTGTAATGATTGGGACCGAGCACAGACGGGCCTTTAAAGAATCATGGCTTTACAATCATTATATACAACTAGTTTTTTTATACATGTTCATTCCCCACATTTCTCTCATGTTTATTTTTATAACGCCACCGTTTTTGACATTGTTTTAGACATTATGTTGGCGAGAATAAAGTTATTTTATAAATAACTTAATATGTAACAATAAAACTAAAGTTTCATTACAATCATTAGAGACATTTATTTCATAAGAAGAAATATTTACAAATTAACTTTTTATCGTGTCTTTTTATTACTTAATCTTTACCATTAAATATTTTAATATTATTTATAACCGTCAAAAAAATTTAATAAACCTTTGCGTTCGTGGTGGACTACAGATTATAGGTCCCGGCTCTCGTGCATGTGTTTTTTCCGAGTCATATGTACTTTCTAAGAGTATTTAGATATCACTGACAGACGATGAAGGAAAATACCAAGCCGTCTTAAGCAAGCATGGTGATTAATGCTCAAATATCAAACCTCCTCAGTGTTAGAAGACGCCTTTACTCAGCCGTGGGCCCTGATAGATTGATGATATATATGATTATATTGATGTAGAAACCATCGTTTAAAACTGTTAAACATTATTTTTATAGTACATAGAAGAAAGTTGTGTTAATTGCACTATTTATAACTCAAGGACGGCTGCAACGATTTCATATTTCTTTTTATTGTTGTGTTTAATATTCTCAGAAGAAGATTCTTATGAAAGAAATAAAATATAATATATATGAAAATTTACAATTACCTTTATTACAAGTTTTATTTAGTATAATTTTTGCTGAGCATGTTTCAAATAGATCTCGTAATTAAAGAGTAACATTGTCTTTTATTTTTTCTTTAAATAGAATTATAGTAGTCGGAAATAAGGACTTTATTATTAAAATCTAAGATCTTTAGTGTTAAAAACAAACCATATACCTTACCCAGCTCACTGATCTGAATTATAACTTTGACTTGACCAGATAGTGTTTGACGGGTCAAATATATACGACCTTACTTATACAAAATGTGTGTCAAGAGTTAGTACAATCTCATTGTTTTTTTTTTAGTGTTTGACGTCAGCATAACTGACGTCACCAATGCCTTTCTTCTCGACTGTCAACAGGATCTGAGGCTATTATGGTCAATTTAAAGACGGTTTGACGAATCATTTGTTTCAAAGAGGTCCGAATGTTGCGGCGGCTCGATCGAGAATTTTTTCAATGTATTTTTCTTTCTGGAAATATGTATTGCTGTTAGATCTGCGGCTTTTACAGCGTCACTGGAAGAGTGGGCCAGTGCTGGGACCGGCCTGGTTTTTAATGAGTACCCTAAATTTAATTTATACCAATCAACACTCATTGTTGTGACTGCACTGCACAAGGGTTGTTTCAGTTGCAGATCACACCTGAAAATTTAAACAAAACATAATTATTAATTACGTAAATAAAAGATATTCGCTCCGACATGTATTAATCAATATTATTTATTATAATTACCTTTCCCTACTGCTCTTAACCTTCGTCCTAGTTAACTTCGAAGATCACTATGTCATCTACCAACACTAAATTCTTACTATTATTTTCAATATATCCTTTTTAATTCACCGATGAATTCCTATTTTTTTTTATCCAACATACACTTTACAGTGTACCAGTAAAGATAATAATTATAGAATACAAATTTTAATAACATCTTAAACTAATTCCGCATTATTTATTAATGTAATTTTATCTATAGATAATTTAAAAAGTTTTATACACACAAACCTCGTTTGAATAGGGACAGTAAGATTAATAGTTAAAGACAGTGATAAATGAAATATTATTTTATTTTTATAAAAAAAAAATATTACAATATATTTAATAAATTGAACATTTAATATATGTCGATTATTACTATATTTATATCATAAACTTAATAAATGCAACTTTTAAATCTATTATATGAGGCGGGTAGTAATTATCAGAGTCGAGTACAATATCTGTGTGTAATTTATTTAAACACATTCATAGTAACAGTGACGTCACAGAAGTCATCAGAAGTTAAGTGAAGAAGCTTTATATAAAACCATTGCAAAAACTCAAGAATGACTATTATGTTTAACAATAATTAGCCATAGTTCCTCCTTACGGTAATCTTATTCTGGTTGTGATTCCCATTGCCGAAGTTACTGACTCCGCATGTTGGACAATTCCGCTGTCTAGAATCAAATAAGTTAATATTAAAACTAGATCTATTTAGTAAATTATTGGTGAATCTCTGTTAAGCTGTACTTATACATACCTTCTATTGCCATAGCCGCTACCACCGCCAGTTCTTTGACCTCCATCCCTAGTGTAGCCGCCACTACCACCGAATAATCCACCGTTGTCGTAGTTACCACCATCATAACCACCCTGACTTCTCTGTCCACTGGCACTGTAACTATATTGTTCCGCAAATCCACCAGAAGAACCGCTTCCCGAACAGCTATAGTCCCAACTGTTTAAAAAACAATACAAAACTTAACAAATCTTATATACACGGGCTACACTACGTTCTTTTAAATATACCTTCTACATATATGTACTATTAACAGAGACTCACCAGGGCATTGTATACACAGAGGCGACCAACGCGAGGACACACACGAACAGGAACATGAACCTCATTGTGACTTGATGTAGGAACGACACTCTCTGTGAGGACTGTGACTGAGGAGTGAGAACAGACGGGACAGACTCCACTTATATACATAGCTTTGAGATAAGGGTAAATAAAATATTCATATAACTTACTGTTGTTTAAAAACTCACTTCATATTATCTTCAACGACGACGGACCTTATTTTTATTTCATAATTAATAACAAAATTTTAATCACCAATTCTAATTACACGTCAGATCTAAAGGAAATACTTTAAAACGTATCTTAATGTACCTTGTGAGTTAATCGAACGAAATGAAATCATTATGCAATTATCGTATTTTGTCTATTGTCGCATATTAGACTGCGCCTATTATATTAAATATTAGTTGTAAATCGTAAAAGATCTTTAAAAATAACACTAAACAATCCCTACTAATATTATAAA